TGTCTTTAGTTGTATATGAAAAAAAATGATTTTTTTATTTTATAATTAATTTGTTTTCTTGTTAATTTTTAAGGTTTGTGTTAACTTATCCCTCCGGGAATATGCCAAAGATAACGGGACAACTATCTAAAGGACAGTCTAGCTAACGTTCGTTACCCGACTTAAGTGCTAGGCTCGGGCCCTCGTCCTCGCCCTTGTGGCCTCGTGCTTAGGCCCCGAAGCCTTAACACCAAGGTCCATAACACGCCAAAATAGTACCAAATTGCTCCCTAGAACGAAAAGTGTAACACTCAGAGCACCGCTTCTGAATAACTCTGCACCAATAGCAGATAACCACTAGTAGTGCATGACCCACCAATAGGACACCTTTACGTTCTAACAGTACAAACAAGATAGAAGGTGATGTCGGGGACACGCTCCCCGAACGACAAGCATAAAAGGACCTTTCTTCTCCAGAAGAGGGGATCACTCCCTCTCAATCTAATACAAAACCCTAATTCTCCTATACACTCACTGACTAGACCGTTAGAGTCTCGTTCTGAGACCCCATCTCGGACGACGACTAACGTCGGCTCTTTCTTTGTTGTGATTCTCAGGCCTAACCAGACGTCGCAATCAAATAACGACGTTAACCTCGAAGACATATCACAACATTTTGGCGTCATCCGGGCGTGTACTCAGTGCTACACAACCTTCAGACAACCCTAGACAGCGGCAAGGACAAGAAAGGGACTTGCAGCGTCTGGCGGGGGAGAAATGATCCCACTCAGATGAATGTCATCGCTCGATGGCACACAACCATCTGCCTTAGATGGAAAAGCCTCCACCCACACGCCAACAACACAGACGCCAGGTCCAACATAGGGAACCACAACAACAACAATTGTAGCCCTATGGCGACTACCATCCTCCATAGCAGAGCAGTCGGCTCCAACCTTGACCGTAGCATCTCAGTCGACAGCGACTCAGGAGTCCCAGCTGTCGACTCAACAGTCACAGCCGGCGGTTTCTCATCCGTAAGTGCAATCGCAACAGGCAGTGACAAACACCTGGTGCCCAGGAGCCATCCCGTCCCCCACACACTACCCATCGTCAAGCTACCAGTTATGTCCAGTAACAGAAATGTCGTATATCCTGTTTTTCGCTCAACAACCTACGATGTTCAACCCCTATTTCCAGCAGTCGTACAGATCTAGCCTTAAAACACCGCTGGAAGGAGAGCCTAAACCTCACTTTCCAACGACACAACAACCAGATGTCAATTTCGAGCATGCCCTAACAGCCGGAGTAAAATTCACAACTGCATCAAAGCACGCATCGAGTTGCCAGCAGCAACCATACATCTCGCAAGCAACAATGAACAATCAAACATATGGAATTTTGTATTACGCTCAGCAATTTATGATGTACCGAGGTTTTTCATACCTTCGCATGGAAAACCCGGCGAGAAGCACCAATTCTACCTTTTTCCAGGAACTCGTGCAGTATGAGATCCCGCATTCGGCAATGATACCAAACATCCCCAAGTACGATGGAACAACTGACCCCGACGAGCACATCGACACATATGGGTGGACGATGACTTCACTAAGGATGGGCAAGTGTTTCATGTGTACGTATTTTTCTGTTACGTTATCCGGTAACGCTAGAAAATGGTTCAAGGCGCTGCAATCAGGCAGCATTGCAAATTTCAAACAGCTGAGACACCTTTTACATAACAATTCCATGAAACTATGGAAGGGGAAGGGAGATGCAAACTCCGTAATGGCATGCAAGCAAAAAAAAGGAGATTCGATACGAGCATACTACGATAGATTCACACTGGCGACACTAAATGTTCCGGGTCACGAAGAATTTTTGTAACCGGGGCCTTCACCTAAGGTCTACTCCTTGGGCCTTTGTCAAAAAAGATACAGGGGACGGTACCTCAGTCGAGAGACGAGCTCAAATACAGAGTCGAAAAATGCCTCCGAAAAATCGAAGGTGAGGAACAAAAGAAAGCCAAACTGAAGGTCGTTTCAAACGCGTATATCAAGCAAGAATAAGCAAACTACCACGAAAACTCCAATTGTCGAGACCACCATGACAGAAGCCACGATAAGCACAACCGACACTCAAGGAACCCACCTCGTAGATTTCGTCCTTTCGGCAAGGATGAGCCCCGGAGTCACCAGGTTAAGGTGCGTGTAGTTGAGAAAACACCTTTAAACGTGGAGAAAGAAAAAGGGAAATACTATGAGTACCACACGAGTAAAACCCACGATATCGGCGAGTGCACGGTCCTGAGGAAGGAAATGGATGAAAACACCTAATGGGCGACCTCATACAATTGCCAAGGACTTGAGGTCCAAGTTCGATGCAGACCAGAGGAATACATGAGATCGAAAAGATGGGGGAAAACGCCAAGTTAAGGACGAGATTCTTACCATCACGAGACCTCTCGAGCGGAGCGAGTGCGAAGAGGCGGACGGCCATATCGAGGTACTACCTAAAAACATCCTAAAAACATTAGCTTCTCATTGAAAGACCCACGCATGCCCAGTTGTAATCCCAGGGATCCACTCATTATAACGGCCTATGTGCACCACAAGCAAATTCATCAAGTGCTAATCAATAACGACATCAACACCGACATTCTTTACGAACACTGCTTCCGCCAGCTCCCAACCTCCTAGAAAGAAGGTCTACAACCCCCAACAAGGGGCCGACTCGTTGGAATCATGGGACATCAGTTATGGCCGCTAGGCACCATAAACCTCCCACTGACCTTAGTCATCCATGACAAGAAAGAGACAACCACAAGGGTGATAGAGTTCTCGGTGGTACGTCACCCAACCGACGATGACATGCTCCTCGGACGTCCAACACTCTTCCAGCTTCAAGAGATACCATCAACAAACCACATAACAGTGAAGTTTAGTACAAGCATAGGCCCAACCACAATCATCACCTGCAACCCACACACAGTACGACAGAGCCATCGCCATATTAGAAACAGTACACGTGCCAAGGAAATGAAGAACATGTTGTTGTATGAAGAAGCACCCGATACCGGCAGTTACCCCACTACATCAAGATGACATGCAAGAGAACGCCTCGATTAAAGTGATTTGAGGGGGGGAGGACATAGTAGTAGCAATACAACTGTACTGGAAGATGCGCCGCCCCGCAACACCAAGCAGACCCCCAGACTTTAGCAAAAAACACAAAGCAAGGACCAAGAACCATACCCAAAGAGTAACACAACAACGAGGAAAAGCTCTAGACAGACCCGTGTAGAAAAGGGGAAAAGGGTATAGGACACCTAACGACTCCCAGTGAGCCTCCTATCGCCCCCAAGACTAAAAGCTAAAAATCCTGGAAACACTGGGACACAGAGCAGAGAGTGACATGCACGCGCATGGATCCCAAGGCCGAACGAGCACCTCAAGAGGAAACTATGAACGCCGACACAACATCGTTCGACAAAGAAGCCAATCCAAAAAGAATCACCAAAGCCACAAAAACCTTCGACGGGTTCAAATCGTGCTCGAATCACCACCCATACGGGTCACTCCCAGTCAATTCCCCAAGTGACGGTGCATAGGGAACACATGGAGGTCTGAGAGTTGTGATAAGGTGAATGTAGGCACGAAGAGAAAAAGACTCACCCCCGAAGAGAAGTCAGTCAGACTGTACTGAAGCATGAAGAAATCCGAGTATCGTCTGAAGAAGATCGATTCACCTAGGAACGTCAAGCTCCAGCATACAAAGCAACATTGTCGAACCCCGAGGAAGCATACCCGGGGAACATCCAAGGTTCCAACGTACAGACACCATAAGAACATTCTCCGTTGGAGAAGTGCCTTGTAACCTGATAAGAGACAAAATAGTATTGTCGCCGCTTGGGATAGCAAGCAAGTCGCTGTGAACACCCAACTCTGACGATAAAACCAACAATATGAAGCAACACTCAGAGACGAGTCGGCTCAACAAGGAAAATGTCGCCAAGGAGCGCTCAAGCAAGGCTGAGGATGCACACCAAGGGGGATTTTATGACCCAAGTGCCCAAGGACACAGCCCCGTTAACTGGCACACGCGCAACCTGCACCACCACCCCTACAACAAGGAGAGAATCTCAGACTAGACAGGTCCGGACCAAGGGCAATGTGATCAAACTCCAAACAGATAATCAGACCCCAGTGGGCCAGCCCAAAGGCTAGGCCTGAGTTAACTTATGATGTAACCATCTCTCTTTCTTTACTTTCCAAACAATGTAGCTGTTTCCAAAACACTATCAATGAAGTGAAGAAAGTTGGCTAAAAAAAACTAAAAAACTACTAGAATCTTTTTTACCACTCAAGCTTGATACCATTCACATAAGAGGTTGTACATGTTTACCAAATGATACCAAGGACTTATCATCCACGTCATTTGAGTGAAACTGTTGTGAGAATGCAACCATAGGCTTCAAAGGCTCATAACATTTCCCTAAACATGTCAACTAAACCGAAAAGGCTATAAGCCCCGGTTATGACATAAAATAAGGCTTCAAATGCTCATAACCTTTCCCTTAAAACAAACAATACCTAAGTCCTAAAAACCTCGAGGTGACAATCTCGATTTGACTTAGATGATTATGGTCGGAGCCAAACTCCTTAAGGCTTAGGACTTAGAGTAAAGTCCTAAAAAAGGTGACCAGTAAACCTTAGTTAAAAAGGACACCCTAACAAAGTAAAATAGGCACAATGGCACAATCTAAAAACAATGGTTCGAGACCTAAAGAAGGGACTAACCCCAATCCCACAATATAAGCCCTCGGGATAAAACCAAAAAGTCCCTAGACATATCTGGTCCCCACGATCACAAGCGGGGGAATCTTAGCAGATATGGCCAAGTTCCTAAATAGGCAAACTTCCATTAGAAAACATAACCTAACCCTCCTTGGCCAGAGACTTAGAAAAATTTCTTAAAGGGGAACTAGAAAACTCTAGCTAAAAAAGAGTAATGAAGAGACATTCTCAAACAACTCTAAAGGCCAACACAAACCACCTGGGATAACGAACAAAGGCATAACAAAGGAAACCTTTCATTCATATCATTCAAAAAAAAAAAAAAACAGCACAAACACAAAAAAAAGTGTATCGTCTGTCGGACAGAGGCCGAGCTTGAGAAAACGACCACACAGGGCCCTAAGCAAATTCAGAATCCATAAGTACATATTGTTCCATAAACACCAAAGAAACAAGGAAGAGTGCATGAATCACATACCAGAAGGAATGGAGGAAGGCCTAGCCCTAGAAGTACTATCATCGGGACGTTTTTCTTCAACATCAGGATCGCCACACAACTGACGAAGACCCTCCATTTTAAGCTCACTAATGCGGAGATATGAGGCAAAATCCGTTTCAAGAAAAGACTTAACCACAACGTGCATCGCCTGGGTGTGTTACAGAAGGGCACTCGATTCACTAGGTATGAACTTTCTAGTGACGACCTGCTCCCTAATCACCTGTTTCCCACCCTCCACGCTAGCAACCATGCACGCTGCCTTCATACGCCTAACGCCCAACGAAAATTCGACACTCTCAACCACTTTATCCACAACACGAATACTGCCCTTATGCAAGAGCCAAGCCACATCCTCCTCCACCGACTTCCTCCTCATCTTCTCCGCCTCCAACTGGCTCCACCCTATCTCCACCTGAGCCTCTAAATCCTTCTTTTCTCCCACCAAAGTCTCGACCCGCTTTGAAAACCGGTCCACTGACCCATCCAAGGCTACCGCTCGCTCCTCCAAAGTCACTTTCTCACTAGCCAGCAGATCATAATGCTCGTCGAACACACGTTTTTCCTCCTCTAACTCTAACAGCTTCACCCTCAAATCATCCCGCTCGGCCCTCACAGAGGAAAGTTCACTAGAATCCGAACTAACCTAGCATAAGCGCCGAGGAGTAGCAACCATATAGGGAGAAAACTGAGCGGTTGCATATTGAAGGTTGTTGGACATATGCGAATTGGAGAGAAACTATAAAGCTTCAATAGTATCAGGGGGAAAGGCATCGCTACCCCACTCGTACGTAGCAGAATGTTGTGTAAGGAAGGAGGCTTGCGTAATCCCCCATTCTGGCAACTAAATAACATGGGTCGTCGGATGAGCGGATGGAGTACCTACACCAGTACCATGCTTCGTCATAAGCAAAGTCGGATCAAGATCAGCTTAAGAGATATCATCGGAAACCAGCCCGAAGACACCCCCATTAGGGGTAGCAGTGTCTTCGGGCTCCTTCTTAGGCTGGCGAGGTTGTTCTATCACCTCTTCATTTGTTCCCTCCGAAAGTTTTGATGGGTCTCCATAACTATGTCGGACTCCCCTAGCAGGAAGTCCACGTTTCGCCTCTTATGGAGGCGTCGACTAATGGAGCTAGTACTGATGCCTTCTGAAAGTGGGGATTCTAGCCAGGTTAACCGCCACTTAGAGGCCGAATGAACCTCTCTAGTCACCAATTCAGTCGGTGGATCATCTTCTTGATCGGACGACAAGCGATCGTCGCAAGAAGCCCCACCAACAGGCGTGAAAACCAACAGTTAGTCGGCCTGGGATCCAGACCCTTGCATAGGGGAAGACCCAAAAAGGGCCCGAGCATGGTCAACACTGACTAGTGGAGGAAGTACCTCCACCAAGGGTACTTCCCAATGCTGACCACTACCCAGGAACCGACCCCTCAAAACCATCTCGAAAGGGATTACCCTCCTGAGACCTGTAACCGAAACACAAAATAACATAATTAGGGAAATCGCCAAAGTCATCGACCCAAATACATGAAGAAATACACACAAAACAAACCAAAAGCAAAAAGGGGGGGGGGGGCGGGGGGTAGGAGAGCCACTCAACGAAGAACTTAGGCATCGCTCCACGCGCCTTCTAAGTGGCACTCATACCAACAACGGCCAGCATACAGTCTTCCCAGTCCTCCCCGTTAAAAGAAACGGTCTTCAGCGCGTTTGCCACCATTTTGCTGGCTCCCCAGGAAGTGGGTATCCGATCGATGAAGTTGGTCATATAGGGATAACCATAACAAACTAAATTACTGTTCACCCATAACCATTTATTTTGCTAATTCTGGGGGGGGGGGGGATTTCTGATTTATGATGAACGCATGGATGCCGTACCGTTGAGAGAACATGTGCACGCCAGATAAGTTGATGAGTTGAAGAAATACTTCAAAGCTGAGAATTGGGGAAGCACACCCAAGGCTCGACATGCCATCTCAAAGCATTGGGAGTCAGGTCGTCAATGGAGAAGCTATATTAGCTCATGATGTCATCAAAGAAATCAGTCGTTAGTAGCTCGAGTCCCGCCTCAAAGATTGGTATGGGGACTCCGACCTTTCCTTTCAGTGGTCGGGTTATAATATCCCCCTTTCGCGGGAACTCCACCCCATGCTACGAAAGGAAACCAAATCATTCCTGCAGATCTGCAAACTCGCTCGAAGAAGGCACAATCCCAGTATTCGGAGCAACCATTATCCACCGGTAAGAAAGGAAAAGAAAGAAGCAAGGAAGAAGGAGAAGCAGTTGAAGAACAAAAGAACGAAGAAAAAAACTGTCTCTGATAAAGGAAGTTTTAAATGAGAGGTGGGAAATTCAAAAGGTTATAAGGATGAAACCATCTGCGCAGCCAACGTTGTCACGTAAGTAGACGTCTAAACCATCACAGTCGAACACATGCATTGATCTAAGCTAGAACAACTTAGCTACCTGAGGCTAACGCTGACGTTTACTAGGCTAGGGGACTTGTTAATGTATCCCTATGGGAATACGCCAAAGATAATGGGACGACTATCCAAAGGACGGCCTAGCTAACAGTCGTTACCCGTCGTAAGTGCTAGGGCTGGGCCCTCGACCTCGCGGCCTCATGCTTAGACCCTGGCACCTAACATCATCACCTAACATCATGGTCCATAACATGCCAACATAGTACAAAATTACTCCCCATAACGACAATTATAGCGCTTAGAGCGCCGCTTCTCAGTAACTCTGCACATTTAGCGGATAACTACTAGTGGTGCACAACCCACCAATATGACGCTTCCACGTCCTAACAGTCCAAACAAGACAGAAGGTTCTGTCGGGGACATGCTCCCCAGACGACAAGTATAAAAGGACCCTTCTTCTCTAGAAGAAGGGATCGGACCCTGTTTATCTAATACAAAACCCTAATTCTCCCATACACTCACTGACTAGACCGTCAGAGTCTCATTTCGGGACCCCCTCCCGGATGACGACTAACGTTGGCTCTTTTTTTGCTGTGATTCTCAGGCTTAACCAGACGAAGCAATCCACAAACGACGTTAAGCTCGAAGATATATCACAACAGTTTGTAACAACATAAATTATGGTTCATGTTTAAGAAGTTATAGATGATTCTACCATCGACGTTTTAATCAACATAAAGTTATAGTATATAAACTTCTCACCCACTATCTCATGAGTAAATTTGAATATGAGATCATTTTGGTAGGATCGTTCAATCCCAATCCGATCTTACGATCAGTATCTTGTAAAACGTAAAACAATCTTAAGTAAGATCTCAATCTTGGCAACGTTGCTATTTTGGATTAAAAAATACATCAAAGCATTTTATAGATATTGATGCAGTTTCAAGATACGCAAACAAAAAATAGACAAAGACGTCTTGCATTTAAAATATTTATTCCTCATTTTAAATATCGTTTTATAAACCTTTAATGTTACTCATTCGTATTTAATTTTTGTTAATCAACTCATATAGCCAATCACTTAGTTTATATTATTTACAATATTTATATTTTCAACTGTGTATNTATATATATATATATATATATATATATATATATATATATATATATATATATATATAACTTGTACAACATAACTTATACTACCTAATAAATTAACATAACTTGTACAGCATGTCATTTTTTAGAATACTAGTTCAAAAATATATTCTTTATTCACATATTGACACGTGGTAGCCTTATATATTTTTCTCTATTAATTTACCTTTTTAAATTCAAATAAATCAAGATATATATTAAATTTGAAACTTAAATTTTGAACTAAATTATTTGAGATTTCCTAAAATATATAAAATCCAACGAGCTATGTTATCACTATATGAATTTTAATCAACTATTTAGAATATTTATTTTATTATTATAACTAAAAAATTTATAAACTTTATTTTATTGGCATATATTATAAGAAAATGTAAATAATCTCAAATCTATTCTAATAAATAAAAATCATTTTATACCACATGTCACACTCTTATTTATTATGTTACATGTAAATTTGTGGCTATAAAATTAAAATTTTTCCACATGTCATTTTTTTTTGTTTTCTATTTTATGAAATCCCACGTAGTATTTAAATGTAATTATTTTAATAAATATAATAATAAATGTTATCAATATCATTAATGTAACATTCCTTTTAATTTCAAAATCCCTAAATTAAAGCCAAATTATTTCTTTTGTTTATTTATTGAAATTATTTGTTTAAATATAAAAGAGAAATTAGCATTTCAAAATTTTAAATTTTTAATATTTTTCTCATTTTCTTATAAGTTCAAACTTTTAAATGCTTAGACCTTCATATTATAACTTTTATTTAAATAACACTTGTAGTAATTTGTACTATATTACTATAGTACTTTTAAAGTCTCATTTATTAAAGTACAATATTATTTTATATTGATAATCAATTTTCAATATAGTTTAGCATTGAATTTTTATTTTTTTTATTTTATCAATCTATTTTTATTGTCTATCTTATAAACCCCGTGGTTTTCACGGGTCTCTAACCTAGTGTTTGTGTGTGTGTG